GTAGCATCTGAAGCTGCAGACTGAGGACTTTTCTTTGTCCCAGCATTTTGACTGAGGGCGCACAGGGACAGCCTACAGGGGGTGGGGGGGGGGGCATTCGATTTGATGGAGTAATGACGTTTCTTATCAGCCATCCGCACTGCTGTCACAGCTCGGTTGCCCTGTCTTGGGTCTTTGTCATTTACATGCGTGCACAAGAAACGGTTACCAGCTACAACAAGAAATCAAGCATAACAAGGCATCAACCAGGTTTCTATTAATGTCTGTCTCCACTCGAGGAAACCGGGTTACTCAAAGAATGTATGTAAAAAGCTTAAAACGACCCCGTTACTTCCATTAATGTAACGAACACATTGTTTCTTTAGCCCCATCGGAGTTAACATGGCTCTCCATCCAGACATAGACAACAACACTACTACCAACCAACCAACCAATCAATCAGATCTCTCTCTGTCGCCACCGCGGAAATAAACGACCAATCAGCTATCAGAGTGCTTCCATTGATAAGGGCCTGAGGACTAATCAGCTGTCTGTCTGGATCTTCTGGGGAAACGAACAGCCAATCAGCAGTCTGTCTGGTCTGCACGGAGTGACTGCCTGGCCAATGAGCGTTGTGTCTAGCTGCACCGAGGGGTGAGCGTCTGCCGAGGCCCAATCAGCGGCTCAGTGCTGCCTGCCGGTGCCGGAGACTGGTGGTGAGGAGCCGCTGCAGCGCGTCAGGACCGGACCGTGAACCCGGAGACGGTGCACACTGAGGCGAAAAGAGACACAGGTGAGTCCGAGGATGTGCGCGAGGCCCTGCTCCGGCTGGAGAGGTTTTGAAACGGCAGCGGCGGGATTGGTGTTGCGGCAGGACGGCTAGTTGTTGTGTCGTTTTCCTCCCGGTGGATATGCTGATAGACAATAGAGCGGCTTTGCTTTGCTATTTATTGATGCGGGCTGACATGTTGGCGACCAGCAGCCGTCGCCTCGACCTGTTCATTTGCATTTAAAGGTCTGAAGTCGCAGCAGAAACATTATGGGATATCTTAATCTTGCCCGGCTCGTTGTGTTTTGATAAAAGCTAAAGTGGTAACGGAGATCTCGTGATTACATTGTGATGGGAACGTTGTGCGGAATGCCTCCAATCCGTTTCATTGTTTGATCCGGAGTCTCTAGGGGTTAACTCCGACTGGAGAAAGAGCCTCCGAATACTTGTTAAAGAGCGCCGAGATTATAGGAGACGTTTGAATGCTTTTATTGAAGCAGAGCTGCGTGAAGTGGCGGATTAAAACACGCGAGCAGGAGGCCGGGGTCGCTGATGGCTCTCAGCAATTAGGTAGAAAAATTCGAAATGCATCAGCCATTTACGTAGACTCAACTGGCTCCATATGCACCTAAATGGCTGCCTGGCGCTGACAGCATAAGCAACACTTCACTGTAAGGCAAGGCGGTATGCAGGCGGCTGCTTGTTCCTGGTCGGAGGATTAACGGAGGGAGATGTCTACATGACGTTAGAGACCAAATGGAAATCAATATTTAATGTGTGCTGCCTATTATTCTGCAGTATACAGGACCTCATTTCGTGTCTGCTGAGAGAATTGTTCTCTCCTCTGTTGCTGCACTGCTCCTCAAGATGTACATGAGTCACATGCAGATGGATTCTCATGCATATGACTTCTTGTCTTTGTGTTTGTGTTGCACATTAACGTCAATAGGCTGTGCACAGATGGAGGTGGTTATGAGGTGAAGAGACACGGTGTGTTAGGTTCCTCCATTATGAATAATATTTACAACGATCACTAATTTTCAAGTTTTTCGTGAAGAAACATTGTAGTTATGTCTTTTGCACCAGCTTTGGAAAATGCAATACTATTGGTCTGTTGGAGTAAAAAGTTGACAGACAGCAGGATAATGGTCACTTTGTGCCATGTAACCTTACACTTTCCTCTGCACTTTCAAACAGCTGTTTGTTCTGAGTCCTGTCTCCTCTGTAGACCAGGCAGAGCACATTTCTCACACATGGCATTTAATAAAAGGGTTTTCATACGACACAGAATTTAGGGACCAGTGTTGAAACCTGTGTGGAAGGACTGTGGTTGTGGAACAGTTGGCAGACCTTGCTACACTCAGCCCTCCACTCACATAGTGATAGTGGGTCTGTATGAATGAAAGGTCCCTGCTGTTGAGGAGTGTGAATGAACTGTAGTATTCTCAATGATGGAGTCCTTCCTCTTCCTATTTCCAGCTCACAGTCCCTCACCAGCGGCAGCAGCATACAGATGAACACATGCTGCTGCCATGACACATTTTACACTATTCACCTCCAGAGTGTAGGCTTTGATGAATATGCAATTAGGCTTTAATCCTCCTTCAGCTAGTCGTTATAGAAACAATGCACATTGTGATAATATAGTTACTACCATGTGTAGAAGCAATCTGATGTCCTGCTACATAACATAAACACTTTTTATTAAAGATCTTATTCAAGGAGGCAGTCGACATAACTTTGTCATGGTGAACAAAATATGTACGCGGTACACTGTTCCTCCACAAAAATATTGTTGGCGGTGTATTTGCAAATGTGTGTTGCCATTGAGGGAAATCAGATGTTGTTTTGACTGTTGAAAGGACTTAAAGTAGCTGAACATCAAATATCCATGACTAAACAAACAGATTGCAGGATGAAGTAAAACATTTTTTTAATATTTTGCGTAATAATGATCTCCAAACCCTGATTAGTGCATAGAAGTATAAAGCCACTGAATGTTTCCCAGCTGAGCCATATCATTCTTATTGTGTACTTTCAAATTTGTATAAAATTAACAACGTTGATAACATCATTTTATTTTTTTTCAGCATCATCTGAGCAATTTGTATGTCCAAACCCATATCAAGGAGAGATGACTTGAAGTCATCGAGTTAAAACATGACATTTCCTCATCCAATTATGAATAATGTGATTTCTGATGCAGGATCATATAATACACAGCAAAAGCTAAAGAATGCTTAGGGTTCAAACAGTGTGTAATGTTGGACATGTACAGGACATACTTGGACCCCCCCACACACACAAAGGGCAGGGTCAGTGTTGAATGGTTGGCGGTGACACGGTTCCTCAGCGCTCCATGATCAGTTCACCTGGCAGGGGGAAACAGGAAGTAGCATGTGGTGGTGATTAATCCAGCTTCTTTACCCGTACACAGGTGTAAACCAGGTCCAGAGTCAAAATGATTGCACTGAATTCACAAGTGAACACAATGGCGGTGCAAACATGCCTCTGTTTGGTGTTTTGCATATTTTATGAGCAAAATGCCCAACTAGGGCAGCAGCAGCTCAGTCTGTAGGGACTTTGGAACCAGAGGGTTGCGGTTCAAATCCCTGAACAGAACAAGTATGGAGTAGTATTTGGAGAGGGTCACCTCACGGCTGAGGTGCCCTTGAGCAAGGCAATCCCCGGGCACTGTGTGTATAATGGCTGCCCACTAATTCCAATACTATGATGGGTTAAACGCAGCAGCTTGATTAACCGCGTGTGTGGTGCTGTGTACATGTAAATATCAGAAGTCCTGCAGCGGGGACATTTACAGCGTTACAGCAGAAGTGACATAGCAGTAAAAGACAACAAAAAAACACATTAGTAATAAAATGAAAATAAAGACAAATAGGTTCTTATCCATGGTATGAACCTATTTAGGTTTTGAGATATTATAACAATTATTATAAATATTGCACAGCAGAATTGCAAAAAAAAATGTTTGTATTGCAAATTGCATGGTTATCATATGTGGCAATTAAAAAGGAACTCATTCAAATCCGCTAGTCTAGATGTTTAAATGTATATTTGTAAAATGTCAAATGTTTTTGCTCAAATGAATCATAGTATGAAAAGATGATGTTTTTCTTCCCACCAAGACCAGAGTGGATAAGGCTGGAAAGCAACCTTTTTGTGGGATCCTCAAACAGCATGTGGATCCTCCGAGGCCAGAATCTGACACTTACGGCCCCTACACACGGCGGCGTGCGTTGAAGCTTCCCGACGGGCATGTCTGACGCTCGACCAACAACCAATCATATGAATCTCCCGCCCCGGACACACAAGTCGCGGTTTGATTGGCTAGAGCTTGTACTGGCATATGATTCGATTGGCTGACGCTTCCGTCAAAGCTTCAAAAGTAGAACATAGCTCTACTTTTGAAGCGAGCAACACGAGCAAAAGCTACGCTTTGCTCCCACAATGCAGTTCGGCGAAGCGTGACGTCACCCCATTCAAAGTGAATGGGCAGAAGCGTTGAAGCGGCAATGCACGCCGCCGTGTGTAGGGGCCGTTATACTTAACTGTGATTGGACAAGTGGGTAGATGTTAAAGGAGGCCATGTTTAAAGTCAGAATCTGAATTCCTTCATTCCTCCCACAGTGGGGAGATGTACATTGTTACAGCAAAGTTTAGATAGAGACAGAAAGTCAAACAGTAAAAAGGCATGAGCATAGTATTTAAGATACAAATGTGAAGTCAAAGTAAATATTCGGGTAGATTGGTTGCAGCAGTAGTGTTTATCAAATAAATCAAGTGTAGTGTGTAGAATGTAGTGTGGTAGAAGCTAGACAGGAGGTGCAATTGTATATAGGAGTTATTTACAGATTCTTGTTTGAGTATTTAAATTGTGAAACTAAAAAGGCAGCCAGTAAAAATATTATGAATGGCTGTGATCGGTGGTGTTGGGACTGCAAACAGGCAGGGGGTGCAACCAGGTGGAGGCACTCAGAACACTCAGCGCTTGGACCGCTCTTCAGGTGGCTGTGGCCAACAAGAACCAGGGTTAAATGTTCCAAAAGATGAACTTGAATCTTGCCAGACGGGAACAAAATCCAAGATCTCACTGGCCGCTGTGGTTTCTGTCCTTTCAAAGTAAACGGTTGCCAAAAAATGCATCGCAATGAAAAAAGAAGGAATTTAAATTGGTAATGTGCAGAATCAGTGTTTCCACCAGGGGGGCGTCTTGCCGTCATTTGACGGCGTTATTCAGCTCGGAACGGCCTGAACTCGAGTCGAGGGCGTCGAGAAAAAAAAATGACGACAAGGACATCCCTCTGTTGGAGGGGCAAAGGAGCCTATTGGGATTATTTTCCGAGTATTGAACCCACGGTGCCTGCCACAGGACAACACGGAACGTGCGCGTGAACTGCGAGCGCCGGAGCCTCGCAGCGGCGAAACTGAGGCTCCGTGGTAAACTGGTAAAAAGAGCCGGCTCTACTTGTTAGTGAGCCGAGCCAAATGATCCGGCTCACTAAAAAGAGCCGTAATTCCCATCACTAACGTAAAGAGATATTATCTACTCTAAGGGACGGCTCAATTCAAAATTCAAGTCACGTGACTCTCTCTCGGGTGGACGGTTATGGCTAGAAAGGATCCGTCTTGTGTAAATATGACGTCACGTTCTCGTTGTAACTCTCGTTCTAATCGGAGCAGCTCGGAAATACATCTGCAGCAGTAACATGATGCAACATACACATTAATGCAGCGGCAATATTAATAGAGAAACATCAGACATTATAGTAAAACACTGAAAGGGAACATTTTTGTTGCACCAGGAGCTATCTTGGGACAATGTTGACTTGCCTGTGAATAAAAAATAAACCATAGTGTTGGTGATCTACAGTGTTGTCATTCTTCTTTGAACACCAACAAGACCGCTAACACCCTATTTCAACAATCACACTCCCTGTCATTGACATAATTAATATGGTTTAGCTTCTCACCATTATTTGCTGTGGCCCACAGATGTTAACGATCGTAACTGAAAGGCTGCCTGCCTAAAGTAAACATTCAGCCACGTGACTTGCAAACTCTCGCAAGAGTTTTACACAAGACGGATCCTTTCTAGCCATAACCCGGGTGGACGCCCTCTCAACCCTGGTCTGGGGGAAACATTGTGCAGAATTAATGAATATAAATTGCAAAATGCCCCCTTCCATAGCATTTGCCAGAAATGGTGTAAGGCCTGGCACCCGTGTTGTGGGTTTGGGGGGGGCTGTACTGCAAAGCTCAGAGGCCATGAGATTAGCTGGTCCACCTTTTAATGGACAAACAGTGATTTTCCGCCAAAAGACGGTGTAGGGCCCTGGGATTCTGTCCTGCAGTCGGCATGGTCAAAATGTGTTTCCCCAGAGTGGAGCGACTACGAGCTAAAGGCTAACATCTGCTCAGTGTGTTTCTCTGATATCCTAAGATGTAATCGCTCAGCAGCAAATTGTCCATAGTCTCTTCTTCTCCAAAGCACACAGCCGCTATTTCTGAACGGAAAAGTGTATTTGGAGAATGGCTACACCCCTAGGCCCTGTATAGTGGAGTGGCACACCCCATATCTCTGTGTTCATGGACACATGGTGAGTGGATGCACTCTAGGTGCCATTGCTTGGGCTAAAAGCAATGGGTGGGTGGGTGGGTGTGACGTAGAGCCAGAGCTCCACCGCTCTACATTCAGGACTTTTAATTCCAACAGAGAGACGTCTTCTCTCTAGCTGATCCAGTGATATCAGTCAGCATATCTAACTTTATCATTTTAATCTGATCATTTTTATAGGTTTTAACCCTCAGCACCTTATTTGTCATATAGTGAAAAAAAGGTGAACAAAGTCAGTAAGCTGTATTCTCACCCATATTTAATCATACATGCTTATCTTCTGCTGCAAATAAACATAAGTATCCCATTGTACTCTGTATCTAAATATAGGGTTAAATATGAAAGAACTTGGAGCAGAAGTAAGACAGGGCTGAGCGATATGAAGAGAATCCAAAATCACACTTTCTTTAGACCAAATCCCTCAATCAATAATGTGAGGATATCGTAGGGATGACCATTAATGGTGTTGCAAAAGTGAATTCGATAAATATTCACAAGTCTGTGGATTTATTGAAAAAATCTGTAAATGCAAAATATAGAAAAGCTGGTAAATTCAGAAAAAATCTTCATCTTTGAAACCAGGCAAAGAAATTATTTGGGATATTATTTCATCCGATTTTCTGGGACATATGATATGGATATGTCGCCCTAGATCAGGGGTACTCAAACTTCTTTGTTAAAGGTCCACTTGTGAGTTGTATACAAGGTCAATGGTCCGGATCAAAAGTAAATAAACTCTCTTTTCCTCCGTACCCAAATCTTTTAAAAACACGGGTACAACGAGCGGATACAGATTTGCTGCCGATCTGACGTCAAATCGGCAGCGGACCCACAGAAAATTGCTATCAGAAACAATGCCTGACGTGTTTTGGACGTAATCTCGTCTTTGTTTACATTAGCAAGCCTCGCTAACACTCAGAGCTAACCTGTACTGGAGAGCACATGTGTTTTTAAAAAGCAGGAAATAAAAAAGGAACTCACCTTGTGATAAACCTGCCAGAGAAAAAGCATTTGAGCTCCATACTGTTTCAGAAATAATCTTTGAAAGCTATCTTTCTTTCTAACTACACAAAAACTATAACACCTCATCCACCCCGAATTCAACAACACTAATCTATAAACCAATTCACTACGGACTACCATCTATATTCTTTTCTATACTCTCTTTGTCTATGACCATATCTACCTATAACATGATGACTTTTATTATCTATTTTAATATCTACTTCTTATCGTATTATGCTATAACTAAGAAGCCTAATAAAACCATAATAGCTATCAGTCAACCTACGTCTCAGGTTTAGCTTAATTACGCTAATTTTATCTGCTACGGAGGGTGATCTCTGTAAGTATATCTTGATGTCGTCATCATAGTCACACCTTGCGATGATGCTAATTCCATGTCCATTCTTAGTCAAGGCCTGTATGCTTACGTTGTGATGAATATACTACCGTACGATTATATCCTATCTCAACTTATAAGTCACTACTCTATCTTCTACCTTCATTATGTTTCATCTATTTATTCTACCTATCTTATGATCGATTCTCTATATCAATTAATTTTAATACTGATGCAGTCTTACCTTACTATGAAAATCGTTGACTATCTATTACGAAAGAAAGTATAAAGTCAATACTCTTCTTAGTAACTCTACTTAATATTGTATTTCATAACTCATATAACGAAAACAATGTGACTCTGAATGTCTATACTTATATCTCTTTTCTGATGCAGTCACTGATCCGACTATCTCTACCTATATATATCTTACGGAAACCATTACCTATCTATTCCTTCTCTAGTCCATGTACTTTATCGTCTCTCCTTACTTCTCTCTTCAACTTACCCTACCCTAGTCATCTCTCCTCATCTTGACGTCCAATGTCCAGGGGGGTTGTTTTTATTACCAGTGCATCCTACCTAGTCATAATATTATTGGCTAGTCTATTTTATCTAATATCTACCTATCTATCTATCATCACCTATCTATCTACCCTATATAGCTAATTATTTATCTATTACTTATCTCCTATCTATCTACGCTATTTATCCTACCCCAATAATTCGATGTAATAGACACACTGACATGGACGTCAAGGAGGGACTTTAAGTAGTAAAGAGAGAAAGAGAGACCGACAGGACAAGAAAGGAACTGGTTTCGACCTCGAAACTGACTGCATCAGAAAAAGTATATATAGACTCAGCACATTTCTTTTGTATTTTTACAATATAAATTACAAATGATGTTTAACTTACTTTCCTTTCGTAATGCAAACAATTTTCCATTAGAAGACTGCAACCTTACTACATAATTTAAATCGATAGCATCGATCAAATTGTAGAGTAGCTTAAATTTGTCATGATTCGGACGTTATATTGCAATCTTACACGTACAACAGCGCGTACAGGAGTGAGCTGATTGCATCTCCAAGTGGTGTGTGTGGGCCTAGACGACCTAGTATTACTACAGACACTCCTCGTAGCATAAATTAGCGTTAATCAAAGCTCGAACGTGCTAAATCTTTTGTTTATAGCTTTATTTGCTAAAACAAAAAATAAATAACCAAAAATCAACCTTAATATGGTCACAAAGAGTTTGAAAAGTATGGTCCTGGATGAAATGTATTTTTTTTTGAACTTACGCGGTGATTGAGGTTATAGTTTTTTTGTAGTAAAAAGATCGTTGTCTAATGTTTACGGACTATTACTATTTTGGTTCACTGTTGTACACTGAGCACACTACTTCCCACAACGTGAACCCGGATATAGTACGTTAGCTTTCACTTTGAATTGGAGCGAAGCTAACGCCTCTATAGGGCGCTCTCACGCCTTTGAAATAATTAATTAAGATTTTACCACCTTAAATAATGGTTATATGAGTGCCTGTGGTCACCCAGGCGCCTGGTGTGAAACTCTTCAATGAAATCTACTCTATGATTTCAAGTCCCATTAGTTGACAATTTTTGATGACAAGTGTAAAAAAAAAGTTATTTACATCAAGTTTCATTTACCTATTAGCAAAAATTATTAGCACTATAGTTAATAACTGGTTATTAGCTCTAATACTAAAAACGGTATTAGCTCGTCGCGATAGACTCCGGTAATGGTCTTTGTAGGAGGTGTTCACTAGCCTCGTCGGAAATGGAATCAACTCACACCGAAATACTACATAAGATATATAACGAGTAATCTGGAAAAGAATTGGTTACTTTTACAAGTCGAGTCTCACGACCTACAATACTGGACTGTCATTTGGTTATGTGTATAGCTCCAAAACTCTTAGACTCAGTAAACCTCGTTGGTGACGTAGTACACCCACGCGGTTAATAACGTAAATGACATAATTTAATCTTTCGTTTCTAAGTGTAAAAAGACCTACTTTAATATTTAGGGCTCGTGTCATACGAGTCCCCAAAACAGCTTTGCGACGCGGGGTCAATGAAACGGTACGCGCGGATGGTTTTACGACTACGTACGTCCAAGGGTCTCACTACGGTCTTTTGTTATAAAGACAAGAAGTTTTGACATACTTAGATTGAGTTTTTATACTTCTTTCAGCAAGGTTATCTGGCAGTCGCCGTATCTGCTCGAAACTAAAATGCCTGAGGCTATTCCATCCCCTGGACTAAAGGTCACCCAGACGCGCCCCCACCCACTCGTCCGTCGTCGACTGTGACTTTGCCTTAAAGACCTTAGTCAAAGAATATTGACAGGAAAAAAGACCTCTCCTCGCATTTCTTTGGCATTGAGTCCTAAATAAACAACACAAGTCCACGTTAGTATATATATACTTAAAAACACCATGTGTTGTTAGAATTACAATCTTTGTTAAATTTATCCTACAATACTTATATAAAACTAAATTTTTACATGAATATAATGTTTAGGAATATCCGTAACTGGGCACGTGCGGAATATTAATGTGGTCGCGGGGGTAGAATCTTACTAGAAGAATATTTTCTCTGGCAAATACAAATAGTCCTCTTATAATTTTTGTACAACACAGACCACATCACTCGGGACACACCTGACCCCCACTGGAGAACACACCTCGTGGACCGGACCACCGTCGTGTCGCGACGTCCGTCCCTACACGTGCGACGACTGACGTTAGGGGTGAGTCGGGGACGTGACATTGATGTCATGGGATTCTTTGGCGCGCGCGAAGTACCCTGAGTAAATGTCTGTTAATCACGACTCAAGGTCCGGTGTCGAGAAATCGGACTAATGTGTAGTTTTGTATGACCGGTGTTAGAATATTCGATGTAATCGGGTAGTAAGTGGTAGATCCCGGTCCCGAAGAGTTTGAGGCCTGGGCTTGACGTTTAGTTTAGGCCTGGCTTGGGACACAGGGTAATATTTATATTAGAAAAAAAAAAAAAAAAATAATATATATATTTTTTTTGCCACCCTGGATAATACGCGATATAACCCTTTTTATATAACATCCCAGTATGTCTAGTGGGTAACCATGGTACGGAGTATAACGAGTATGGGGAGATAAACTTCGGGACCAATCTCTTTGACGCTTTAAAACCCAGGGAATCGAACTTTTTGTTTTTCTCCTTGCCTCGATTACGGACTAGTCTAAAGATGCTCTATTTCAATTTAAGACGACACTATTTTGCCGTAGGAC